TATTATATATGTATGTGTGTATATATGTATATGTGTGTATGTATGTATGTATATATGTATGTATGTGTGTACATATATATATATGTATATATATATATATTTTAATATATATATATTTTTTTTTAAATTTGTAGTTTTTGCTCTCTTTGTTATTTTCTGCTTTTAAAATGTTTTTGTAGATAAGAACTGAACCACTTTGGAAATCAGTACTATGTATTGAAAGTGTATATTCAGTATAAAGAAAGAATAAATAAATAAATAAATATCAAGCAAGTAGGCCTAGGCTAGCCTGGCTTACTACTAGAGGAGCCTGGATTAGGCCTAGGCCTAACCCAGCAGGCCTATCCAAGCCTAGGGCCTAGCCCTACTTAGGGGGAGCCTAAGTTTGTTTTTGTCATCCAATCATGACATACATTTGTTTTTACATCAGTTCTATAGCTCTTCAAAACATATAAAATGTTTTTCTTTTCTCACATTTTTTTGTAATTTTTTTCACAGATTGTTGCAAAATTTATTCCCACGAAGAAGGTAGACACATCCATTCAAGTTCAATATATGTATTTTCCTTCATTCTTTCAAAATACATATTGCAATAATAAACTTACCAAAGCTATGCACTTGCAATGATAGGAGATGTAAAAAGAGGGTCAATAATTTTATTTATTTTCTATTTTACCTTGCCAGATGTATTTATGAATTCTCACTTTTTCATATTTAGAAACTGTACTGTATTTTAGCAAAATGTGTTACGGGACAATAAAAACATGTTTTCTTTGTAAATTTTAGTCCATTCTTGTTACTTTTTATGTGTTTGTCCTCAACCAAATGCACCGGCGAACGCCGATGGGATGGTTGGAAAAAAGAAAAGAAAAAAAAACCTCCCTCCCTCATCAGTTTTTATGCTGGGATAGGGTGATAAACTAACAATTTTTTTTACGGGGCCTAACAAGAGGCACGACTGTCCAATTTTGCATGCACGCAATGAAACAAAATACAAAAAACAAGTCCACAAAGAGGGGCGTCCTATTAAAATTCGAATAGAGTTCTGAACTTTCAAGCATAAACGCAGTACGCCTTCGATACAGAGGACTTTTACGTTCTTTTGTAGGGCGCCCTCTAGTTTGGTTAGTACTTTTCATGATAGGATTCCGTTTAAAAGAAACCCTGGTAGTCGGACCTTTTGCTATACTCTTTGATAAAACCTTTTTCACCATGCTAGAACAGCGAGACATGTAACTAAGAGATTATTTAATACATTTTTACTATAGAAGCTTCGCACAATATGGTACAGTTGAATTAGAGTCAAATATCTGTTTCTAGTTCATACTTTCTTTTGAATTAGAATTTTGTACATGAAATTTGCTTTATTCTCTGTTCCCTATTAATAAAAGGCAAATAAGTTATAATCTCTTCCCTTTTATAAACCTAGATTAAAATGATATGGGACTACTTTTACTACTGTACTTCATAATTGTTTTCATGTGACATAGCTACTGTACTGTACATACATAGAAACTGATGTGAAAGAAAGTGGTGATACTACTGTTTATACAGCCCAGAATGTAGATGATATACTTTACTATACTATTAAACTGCTTGTAAGAATGCCTATAACGTAGGTTAATTTTTGTCGAGATGATTTGATCAACTAGATTTTTAATACAAGTTTATCAAGTGTTATAATTTTCATTGTTGCTATTTTTTATAAACTTGTTTGTTTTTAAATTTAGAACAATTTTTTCACTAAAATAAATTTTTTACTAATTACATTTTATTATTTTTTTATTTAAAAAAAAGCGCAAACTTTTAAAAGAAGTTCCAGAATTTGACAAGAGAGCCCAATTACACCTATTATATCGGCCCTGGGACCCCTTCACTACAGCCGACTCAAACCCGTTCTTTTCACACAGTTAGTATTTTAAGTCGGCTCAAGAACGTTCACACTTCCTCCTTTGCGCCAGGGTTTTGCGTGAAATATTATGGTGAAGATGTCAAAATTGACCGCTATCAAGGCAACTCAGGTTCGGTTTACGTTACGTTGGCCCAAGTTTTGCATTGCGGGACCTGAGCCTTTTTTAAAGTCGTGCTGACTTTGGATCGCCTTTGGGCCGGCTTAAAATTGATGGATTGTTCATACTTTAAAAAATTTGTCCGTGAGCCGACATAACTATTAAATATACTTATATAAAAATATAACTATAGGAAAATTATGGCTGTATACAGATAGTGTTAAATATATCTGCCAGTAAGGGTTAAATTAAATTTAGCAAGTACAGAGAAAATCAGTAAAATTGTTTCTTTCTCTCACTAGAACCAATAATATGATCTAAAATTCTAAGAAAATAATTTGTAAAATTATTTTGTCTGCATTGCATTACACACACAATAGCTTTAATTTCAAGGAAAACGTGTTAATGTTATGATATCCCCTGTGAAATACACAAGATTAAATTCATTGAAGCTATATGAACCTATTCATTAACATTATTCTCACATCGTTGAAGACTTTTATTTACACTTGAATAATTCTTTAGATCCATATATTTCAAGTAGAATTCCTTCAACATTCTAAGCCTTTTGAAGACTTTGGATTACCGCTGGTTTTTCATCTTTTGTTAAAAACTAATAACTAGAAAATTTGGGTTTCAGTTCTTTGTGTATCAACAATTGAAAGTACTACACATCGGTGAAAAGTCAATTTTTACAATCAACCTGTTTTTAGTTCTTGAAATGGCTTCTTACAAATTATTATTAATATTTTTGTGTTATTATTAATATGATAATTGTACCCAGTGGGGGCTCCAGAATATGTCCAACAGGGAGGGGGTGGGGGTCAAACAAAGAGCTGAATAGAGTCATAATCAGGGTCCCGGAATAAAAATCCCTGGAGAGAGTTTTTACTATGGCTTAGTATGGCCCAAAAACTAAATTGTGCTTTGAGACCACAACATTAGGGAATAACAAATTAACATTTTTGGTCCAACGATCCTTTTGTGGCATCGAACAACAGGGGATTCAGACTGAATTGAGGGAAATTGCTATATGTCATACCTAGAAATAATAAAGCACACACACAAGACAAGTTTTTAACAGTAACCGAATGGGTGGGGGGGGGGGTGATTAGGCACCCTATTCACCCCCTCTAGATCTGCCACTGTTATGGGCGGATTTAAGGTAAGGAGCTGGGACGGCCCCGGCCCCTACCCCTTTAGTGAGGTATAAGGGAAAAAAGAAGAAAGAAAGAAATAGATAGAAAAAAATTGACCGCCAAAAGGGCTCAGATATTATTTTTGCGCGTCTATAAAACAAAAAGTTTGCAGGCTGAGACCCATAGTGTAGGCCTAGTGTATCTCGATTGGCCACACTATTCGGAAATCTCTGGATCCGCCTCCTACACATCATCCATATATTTTAGTAGTTCTAACTTCCTTTTCATTTTCACTTGTTTGTATAGGTTATCTAGGCCGCCTATATTATTGGGGCTAGGCCTAGCCTGCTTAGCCTAGGCATATGTCTACAGTACAGAGCTCGTTTAACTCCATCCCGGTAAACTGACACTTCACTGTGTCTCCCACCTTCCTATACATAATTAAGTCAGCAGCTATCCGTACATCAGTGTGGTGTACTTCATCATACATAAACCTCATCATTATCATAATGTACATGGCTGGATACCTACTTCAATGAAATAAAGGATATACCTACTTGCAATTTTTCATAATTTCCTCTTGTGACAAGATTTTGACAGGTGCAAATCTGTCGGTGTTTAAATTGAAATTTCTGAAACAACTCGCCAACTTATCGTCGAAATTGTTCACAAGATCTTCAATGGAATCCGATCGCATTTCGGAAAAATTGTCCACGTTTATTTCCTCTTTGGATGAAAAATCAGAATATACATCTCCATTGGAATTAACTATGTCTGAGGAAGTTCTATAATCAATGAATTCTGGCCATTCTTCGCAATCCTGGTCTTCATTCTCGTCAAAAACTGCAATGGGCGCTGCCATCCTTCTCGTTAATTTTGAGCCACCACCATCATCCGTCAAAACAACCTTCGCTGTGGGAAAAATATAGATGTTCTTCGTCGACGATCGGCGTTGCCAGAATACCACTTGATTACAATTTCGCCGTAAGAGGGCGGTAGACTGATTCTTCCATAACATCAAGCAATTTGTACACTTTTGAATTTGATATGGTTTTTCTTTTTAAATGTGTTAATTCAATTTTTGATACTGCTTTATGTTCTTCCAACAGATCCGGCTCCAGTTGTAGTGACCTATTTATAATAGTACCCTTTAACACAGTCAATTGCATTAATAGTGGTTTTATTCATCGACTTGCTCTTTTCTCTAACACCCTTTCACATAATCATTTTTTTTTCCTTTTCATTTTGATATTTTTTCATAATTAATAATTTATTTGTACAGTGTTTTTTTTATGTTTTTATTAATGTAATTAAGACATCCTGTGATTGGCTTTTAGCTGTTGGATGGTGTTTAAAATAAAATATATAAAAAAAAATAATTGTGTATTGATAAAGGTTTATTTCATGTGAAAATATTGTAGGTGTGTAACAATATGCCTAAATTAGGTTTAATTAAATTAAAATTATTATATGCAAATAACTCTGTGGCCAAAGGCTAGTAACTATTATAGTGAGTCTTCAAAGTGCTAAATTTATCTCCCATTTGTTTCATTTTTTATCATATAACTTTCTTACATTGTTCTATTGCAGACTAATGCAGCTACACCTTCTATTCATAATATTTATACTGGTTCTCATTAAGTATTTTTTATTTTTTTGGTTTTATGTAAAAAAATATTCAAATCAAATATTTACTTATTTATTTATTTATTTTCCTCTTATTAAAGAACCTTCAAAATAAAGACCATTTCCAATTAACGACAATCTTTCTGCAGGCCAATGAATACCTATGTTTTACCTTCACAATTTTGTTTAATTAAAGAGCAAAGATGCTCAAAATTAAGAAAACCCTGGTACCAAAAGCAAGCTTTAATTGGAAGGAAGTTAACAGAGGCAAGGCCAATGGTGGGGGTCGGGAGGGTCAAAGGTTCCTGACCCCCACAAAAATAAAAAAAATATCCTGATTATAGTAGTAAATCATCGGTAATGTGAAAACAAAGGTATGAAGTGTAAACCATCATCCTTTTATGATTTACAGAGTAACTGAGTGGCCATTGACCTATGACCCAGCATACATGCTGTGTCATCTATACACAGCAAGCATCTCCAAATGTTGTTTGTACAATAAATATTAAAGTTGAAATAAAATACATTTTGCTACAATCATAGTAACTCTCTGGTTACCCAAATCAAGGTAGCAAATGAAAACACTGTAATTTATTACAGTACAGTATTATTTGGTATAATAGTTTAACCTCCCTGTACAACCACCTCCCATATGCTATCACCTTCTATAAAATCTACTCTCATATGGTCCTGTTTGTTCTCCCTATCTAATTAGTGTATTTGATACCTCTCATAAGCGACCACCTTAAAAGTTTGTAGTGTAATATCTACAACATATACAATCAAATTATTTAACAAGTTGAACAGGTGACGGGTGATTGTGAACTTAAAAAAAATAATATAAAGCGATAAGATAAATACCAAATTTATTTTCTTGTTTACCATTGCCTTCAGGCCGATTTTTTTTTTTTTTTTTTTTTTTTTTAACAGTAAAAATTGACATTGTGAAACCTCTCAATTCTACCTTTTATCCCGCTAGGCTTGACTCCCCTCAAATTTTACCCTGGCTGCACCCCTGGTTAATATTCTTATTTTTTTATTTGCCAAAAAAAAAAAAAACATTGGTCAATAAAAGATGCACACACACACTATTACATTGCTTCTACAAGAATTTATTAAATATATTTGTTACTTGTATACAGTACAAACTTGATAAAATACAAACACTAAGTATCTAATGAAATAGATGATTATTGCAAACACCCTGAATCACAAAAAAGTCCAATTATTTACAATTGTTGAATGTTTTATTTACGTTATAACAGTCACACAAAAGGAAAAACATACTAAATTGATTAAATATACACAATACTGTACATGAAACAGGTAAAGACACTTGTCCTAAGCTCTATCCAGACTACCACATTTTCTTTGACAAAAAAACTGTTGTATGCCCATATATAGTCATCATGTGCCTATATATGGTCATGATGTGATGTCATCATGACCATATTTAGGCATGTCACATGTTTTTGCCAAATTAAATTTGACAGTCTGGACATGGCTTTACGTTTGCTTTTCAAGGCGAGATGAGAAACTGTTGGTCACAAAGTACTAGTGCTCAAATGATGCTGGAATTCAGGTAAATACATGTGGAATGGCACATCTAGATGTGTATAAGAGACAGATATATATATATATATATATATAGTTAAACTTGCCTAGAAATAGACTTTAAGTTTCCTAATTTGAATAAGTTCTAAGTTTATTTTTCTCAAATGTTTTTAGCAAAACTATTTGCTCAATATGAAAGCAAATTTTTTTTTCTTTTTTTTTCGCGCCCTCCTATGATGATCTGTAAAGTTTGCGAAACAAGGTATAAACAAAGTCTTGTCTCACAGATTATTGTCCGACAGCTGGGGTCGCTGGCTCACCCCCTGAGAAAGCTTCCCCCAGGGAGCTGAGGGTGCATTTCATATCATAAATGTCTGATCCAATGACTGAAATAATGAGAAGAGCATAAAGGCTTTGGCATTATGTACTCTATCAGACTAAAACATCTATTGTTATACCTGATTGGTCAAATTTAGTCCTGATCAATAGACGACACCAATCAACACTCAACACCATACTTATCAAAATTTCTAAACACAACCCCTAATTGCAAGTGAACCTTGCCCATTGCGACAGTCTGTAATGTGTATCTTTCTGCACTATACACCATGTCGGGGTTTCGCAACTGAGGGCCTCCTCCAAGGAAAAACTGAGTTATCTGATCCCTATACGATCCGGCAGGACGCCATGTGACACATTCTAGATCGTGAGTTCCAGGTGAAGTGGGAATGTGGCAAAATCCGTAGCCATGGAGTTCACTGCGTCCATACGAATCTTGATGGTAAACTTGAAAGTTTAACTTTGGCCACCCTGAAGACGGAAATAAAAAAAAACCTATCAAGACACTTAAAGTGCATTACCTCGATAATCACAATTAGAACAATTAGATAATCCAAGATTAAAAAACCTTGCCCTGTTGTGCCATTAAAAATCCTTTGAAAATGAAAAAATTTGCATTCTAATTTCGATTAGCAACAAATTTGTGGCCAATGCATGTGGAATTGTCATTCACTTTATAGAAAATTTTTTTCATTAGACCTAATTTAACACACTCCCTACTTTGACTTGTAGTCGATCCCCTCGAGTTGGCTCAGCCTAGCCAAATGAGGCCTAGCATCATAGGCCTAGTGTGGCAAGCCCATCAACCGGGTTCCAGTCCGCCAGTCAGAATTTTGACACGTGGTAGGTCTGCTCGAGTCAGGAAACAATAAAAAAATAAATAAACTGGCAGAGGCATTTTTTCTAAACAACTTTCATGGTCAGAGGCACAAATATTTTTTTCCAGGCCCTGCATATAACATTGTCAAGGTGTGAAAATTTGAAGTAATCAAGTGTAGTAGTTTTTTACACACAGAAGGACGCAACACCACAGACAAACACACACACACAGACGCTATTTCTTCGAAGAGGCGAGGGTAATACAATTTTACATAATATAATCAAACCCGCAGTTAATTATTTTATAATTTTTTATTAATATAATTTTTTTAGAGGAAATCTTGTCATCATTAGAAATCAAAATAATATATCAGACATAAAACACGCATTACCTTGATATGGGCCATTATAATGTTCAAAATATAATACACATTTTACACAAATTAAAATAAAACATGCAGTAATTATTTTAATATTATTGTATTATTTTTTGTGTCAATAAAATTTGTTTGAATGAACTAATATCATTACAAGTGAATACAAAATAAAATATTTTTAAATTGAGATGAAACACACGTTTCAAAAATCAGGAGTTCATGCAGCATTTTAGGCATAATATTTTTGTTATGTATCGTGGCCCTCATCAGTGGAAAATCAAGGAATTCATAGTTGTGAGGGGTTAGAGGGGAACTTTCAGTCAGAGGGTCAAGAATATCTTATACTATTATAACATATCTTCTCCAACCTCAAAAAGAAATTTGCATGATTACAGTTGTTAATTTTAAAGTCAGATTAAATTTAGCTGATTTCAGATGATAAATTAGTAGAATTTATACCTTGTAATCCTTTAGTTGCAAAATGAATGTCGATAGGGTGGCTCCAGACAGCAAAGTCTTCATTTTGCGGAATGTCAACCTGAGTTTGACCTTCACGCAATCCTGCTAGCACCTTCCACGCACCTCCTAAAATGTTGAACAAAAGACATTTTTTTTTTTCATGACACACAGTATTTATCTGACAGTGCAGCTTCAAAGGTTGGAAGGCAGCTGGCCTGGGGTCTTCCTATTTTTTTCAAAATCATAAAAGAACTTAGATTAAAAGAAAATTATATTCAAATTTAAGTCTTGGCATGTCATTTCCCGCCATAATCAGATTTTTTCTTCTTCATATGCATAGCTAAATGTTATAATAATATGCAAACAGATATACTGATCATATCACTATAGCAACCAATGACTGCTACAGCAGTTGGTTATCAAAAATAACATTAAAAGAATGGAATTGACTTATCTATAGACTAGAGGAAATTAGTGCACTTAGGTTAGATTAATGCATTCAAAACATTCCTTCGGGCCTTGCCAGAATCTAGAAATTCTTTTTCACGGATTAATCTAATCTTAGTATAATATTTCCACTAGTGTATGATATGCAACACTACTAATTATATATTATCATCTGAAACAATCTTAGGTTTCATTCATGCAATGCATTCAAAAATTGGCCAGGACACTCAATTATTTTTAGCTATATTTAAACGTTTGTGCAAAAAATTTATCTGTTTATTACAATTTTAAGAACAAGGGAAATGGATAAACTAAACAGCTTTTATTAGGCTTATTTCATTAATTAAAATTAATTATTGATGTTGCTTTGTCGGAATGTAATTAGGTGAATTTCTATTTATTTATTTAAATGGGCCCCATTGGTTTCTCAACTTTTTTGGGTTTTATCCAAAAAAAGAGTGAGTCTAATGATAGGCCAGTCTTTAAGTTCTAAACAACGAAAAAATATTTTAATTTCAAACGTTTATTCTAAGAATAACTAATACTTATGACTTCTAAATTAATTAAACAGGAACATAGGTCTATTCCTTACATTAATAATAATAATTTTATAAGGGTTTTAATTTTAATTGTTCATTGGGTCGTACGTAGTTTCCTTGTTAATTTGACGTGGTCAGTGTGTATTCATGTTTGTAAAGTCGGTTAACGCGGATTTCCCTCGACGAAGTGGTTACCTAGTAACCAGTTGTTAGTAGTTGCTATTAGTCGGCGGTGAAATAAGCGCTCTCGGTAACTAGTTCTACTAAGTTGCTTGTAGTTGCGCGATCGCGAGTGAAAGTCGACATGAGCACTACTGGTAACTAGTTGACGGCCAGTTGCAGTCAGTTGAGTTGAGTCGAGTCACAAGGGCGAAATAAGCCTAGATTAACATATCAATTTTTTTTTCCCTCCGGACCCTGGCTTTAACCACTAAAGCTATTTAACTGCACTCCCATTTAGTGCACGTAATATGAATATACCGCCTACTTAATACAACATACCCGTGTGAATTCCCCATTTACAGAATAAATCATGCGCAGGAAATCCACTAGCGCCAACTATTTCCCCAATTACATGGACTTCAGCCATATCTGAAAAGAAAAGAAAAATATGCTCTTTTCTTATATTTGTAAATTACACAGAATTCAGTTTGATTTTGTGTTGTACACTCGCACAGCTGACACTGTTGCTGTACAAATCATGAAACCAAAAGCAACACAAATGATGATGACATAATTAATGTTGTAATATTGAATCCCGAAATGATGCCGTGCATTTCGATACTTGGAGTATGTATTATACTATCTTATAGTCAGACATGTTTCTTCTGCATCACACTGTTATCATCAGGGATCAAAATAAAACATAACAAAAGAAACTACAATACTCAGATTATTCCATTACAGGTATAGGGTAATGTTAATGCAGTATTTGTTTGATGAGTGATGATTCAGTCCATTTAATATGAAGCGCCTCTTTTGGAAATTGGAAACTGCCACCTACTAAAAATTTCGTAGTCCTGCTAAAATGCCCCACTAATAAATGACTGGAGACAAAAACAATTTGAAGATCTAGCCTATGCCTGAATCGGAGAAGCATGTGTCGTGAGAGCTGACATAATAATTACATAATTAATTATGTATAATAATTAGTCAAGGTTACATTAATAACTACTGATAAATACAACGTAATTAACATGGCCTAAAATGCTACATAAACATTTCTTGTATAGGTATATACAGTAATTTATAAAGACAATATACAAATGATTATGAATTAACTCCAGCAAAAAAACATATTTAAAATAGTATTAGTAATATCTCCGCTAATATTGGTCCGATTTACATAATTTTTGTTTTAAAATGCCTTTTTTGGCACTTATTACGTGTCACCCGATCTTACTATTTGAAATTTCTCAAGGTTGACAGGTATGCTGGCCTAGGCTAGTTCGGTAGGCCTAGGCCCTTAAGTCAAAGTATGCCTAGGCCTACAACTTACAAGGATAGGCCTCTAGGCCTAGAAGAAAATAAGCTAGTTTGCCTAAATGCTGTCTTAGGCCTTAGCCAGCCTCTAGGGTCTAGCTAGGATAATCAAAACTACAATTACCTCTGTTTCTACATGAACATTTTGATCAAGGAAACACTAACTAAAATACTTTATTTACAGAACCTCCTCGTTGTCAACGTTGGTTAAGCCGTACTCTGCTCGGATCCACCAGCGGCGCGGTCGAAAATGTTTGTTGAGGGCAGCATTATGAAATATGTTTGTGATCATCAAATAAATAAATAAAAAAGAAGAAACATTGTCCCCTTATACACTCAATATAATACAACTAACAATACTATTTTTAATGTATATAAAACAATTTTAGACAAATGTTAATGCTTAATAAAGTCGATGGGTCTATTGTATTCGCCCCGAGAGCTATTGCATTACGCCACTAACTGTTTTTGTAAAAATGGAGGGACGCATGTTATGATGCGAGGGGTGGTCCTCCTGCGGGAAAACAATTTATTGTTTCCAGATGCTCGCATATGCACTTTCTTTCATTTTCATGAGTCGAGTTAATGACTTTTTTTTTGTATGAATATGAAAAATGATGATGATTATGATTATGGAGTTATGAGGATTGGACTTGTGCAAATATAAAGATGTGGGTAACCCACATCTTTATATACGACTTTTCATGAATCTCGAACTGCTTTGTAGGCCCTCTTTTGGCTAGACGCACCAAGACGGTTGGAAGCGACGATCGAAGAAAAACGGTTCAGCAAGCCAATAAGGACTTCGCTAACTTCCATTCCTCAGTATTAAAATCCTTCCATTGAAGGAATTGCACTGTCTAAAACTTTCTTCCAGCTTATCTCTGAAAAGATTATAACCTTTTCGTCTGCAGTTGGCTCAACATGAATTACACAGGAGCCAATGAGCTTCCATGACGGCCTAGGCTCGGACATGACACGTTGTTGTTTGTTGTTATTTCGCGACATCAACGAGTACAATACATTCATTATCCACCATCAACTGAACTGCCTTAAAGGGAAAAAAATTGGTTCGTGTGGGAATCGAACACACAACCTCCACGTTTGCTATTCATTATCCACCATCAACTAAAAAAACAAAAACAAAAACAAAAACTGGCTCGTGTGGGAATCGAACCTACGACCTTCAAAGAAAAAATTTAAAAAATAAGATAAATAAAAAAAAAAAAACTTGCCCCGTGTGGGAATCGAACCCACGATCGCCGAGTTTACTACTCCTGATCCAGCATGACTAAACGGAGGGAGGTAAACCGCGGCCCCTAAGCCATAAATGCAATAAACCTAGTACCACACCAAGTACCAGTTAATCAACTCTGATCCTAATAAAAAAAAAATTCTTCGTATATATACACTACAGGTTAGTATTACGCATGGTCATGGTGTCAAAAATGGGCCGTGGGCCAAGAGGGTTTATTTTTTTTGTCTAAAAATGTAGAATTAAATTTATAATCGATTTTTTATTGTTACCATCTACATAACTTACGCACTTTTTTTTAAATAGACAAAAATGTTTGAAAATTTCTTTATGCAAATTAGAAAAAAATAGACTAATCATGTTACGGGAAACCTGGTGGTTGTGTGTTCAATTCCCACACCAACCTTTTTTCTTTTTTTTTTTTTAAGGCAGTTTTGTTGATGGTGGATAATGAATA